CACCGACAAACCATGTATTCTGCAGTCTGTTGCAGTGGGAGTAATGAGTTGCATTTTCTTTACTGAAATTCATGCTTTGGTGAAGAAAAGAAATTATCAAATAAATACAATTTTTATTTCACTAGAAGATTAGCGTATGATTTAAGTTAATATGAAAATTTTCCTGTCCATGAACATAGGGTTTCACTAGTGCTAATGAATACAAATAAGTATTTGTTTTTGAAGTGGAACATCTTTCGAAATATATCAGTTATATATTCATTCAAACAAGTACAAAAAATCAGGTAAACTTTAAACATTCAAAACACTGTAATACTTTTATTATCAATGTAATTCAAGAATTAAGATACATGCGATTTATCAATGTAAGGTACTTTTACTGATTGGTATAACAATACTGAAATTAGATCAGCTTTAAGTATTTTAGAAAGATAACCGTGCCAAAAACAAACTATAAATCATAGCTTTTCATGTAATTTATTTCATCAGAAACTAGTAACTAAAATACCGACAAGTATTTTAGGTAGTAATATTTTGTTCGGGTTATTATAATATAAATGTTATCAGTAACACTGCCTTTGATTGTTTCAAAATACAATTTTTGTGCAAAGCTACACAAAAGGCTACCTGCGCATAACCATCCTTAAATTCAAACTGATAAACAAGAAGGAAACTAGCACCAACCGACATCTCTTGGACTACTCTTATCTGACTTAATGGTAGTATATATCTGTCTCTCCTATAGAGCACTTACGGCCTCAAAGTGCGGAACAAGGTGTTTTGCTGCAACGAGTCGCGAACCATGGATTCTTTGATCCACAATTCGGGTAATAGAAAGGAAGGACATTAAACATCATATTTACATAAATTAAAAAAGATAACCTGACAATAATTTATTTATTTTTCATAAAAATGCAACATTAGTTCACCCAACTGTGTTGGCAAATATATATATATATATAAATAAATTCTGGGTATGGGTTTAATAGTATTTGTTGAAACTTAAATATAAAACTTAGAATAGAAATTCATTTTCATCACATTAATCTTTTCTTTAATAACCTATTTTACCTTTATCAAATACTTTTACTGATACCGAGTTGGCTGTTCATGAAATTTTAAAGCTTGATACAATTTAATAGGGGAAAAAAAAGAAACAGAGAATCGTGAAAAGATCGCCAGTGCACATTTCAGTAAACTGGAGACGGTTATTGGAGATTCAGGGAAATTAGTCCCGTGAACGATCCTAAGATCTTGGAAGATTCAAATGTAAAAATCAGTCTATTTTTAGGAAGCATTTATTCTGACTATTTCCCACATTATTTAATATCCATCAAAATAGCCCCCAGTGGCACTGCGGACTTCTACTGCTAAAAACTGTATCGATACCCGTGGTGGGCAGAGCATAGATAGCCCTTTCTGTAACTTTGTGATTAATAACAACAACCATTAAAGTAGCGCAAACTACACATTATATATACATAGATGTATTGTTCCCATAATTAACAAATTATATCAATTAAGCACAATCTAAATGACTCTGCCCTCAACTGGAGAAATTTCTGTGGACGCCCAATATACTAAGAAAAAAAGAAAGAAAAATATGCAGAATAATATTAGTATTTCTTCAAAAATTGAACGTTTGATTCGTGTTATTAGAGTGAAATGTCTTGAAGTAAATACGTTTATACGCATGGTTTACGCAAAACAAAAAAATAACAGTAATAACCTATATCTGTTTCTTCATCACGCCTGGTAAATCACTGTTTAAACAAAACATTCAACTGGGAAATGTCAGTTACTACAAAGATGTATTATTATGGCTGACGGATATACAATACATTCAATTGAGTTCCACTTCACATTTGTCAGCCAGTCGATATGAAAGTGTGTGAGTTTTCTCAAATATAGGCGGCTAGAAATGATCGAATTTGTTGGAGTCTTGAGGAAAAATAGACCATGTGTGATTATATCGAAGTGCATATAGATACTGCATAAAAAATGAGGTCCTCTATTGACAGAATTGTCTATTTGGCTTCACATGACAGCTTAAAAATAATCATTACAAGGTCTCTCACCTTTCACTTAAGGAAATCTACCGTAACGTTATACGATTCTTTATAAATCCCTGAAAAACTTTACATCTTCGATTTGGTGATCCAGTTGCATTTATAGATAGAAATACGGTATAAAATTCACCACCCTCGAAATGTTGAAGGGTAAAAATCTGTACGGCAGATAAGTTATTAATAAATTAAAAACCACGCAACATTCTATCTCAATCCGGTTATTAAAATGCTGTATTGTTAACTCCATGTGATTGGTTATAAGCCGATGTAATAGACAGGAGTGTTAATAACTCGAATCTAGGACTACTGAGTGCATAAGTCTTTAGATGTAGTATAATTTCAGTCAACGTTAGAGATGGTTCTCTATAATGGTGAGTAAAGCTTTTTAAAATCATATTTTTTGTTTTATTTTTAACAAGACAATGGTCATTGCAATGAACTTATTTTTTGTACCACAAACTCTTTCTGAAAATAGTTTTATGAACATCAATGATGCTTCGAGAATAAACAATGCTGACACTAAAAAAAGGCTATTAACTTCTGAAAGCATAAACGTATATGTCCAAACTTTAACCTAAAGTGGCAGAACCCTGATGGTCAATGAAACTTACAGTGCTAAAATATGGGATCCGATTCCTCTCGGGGGATACAGAAGATAACCCACGGTGGCTTTGCGCTAAAACAAACAAACAGAAAAACTCATAGCGGCAGAATTTTGCATTTTTTTAAATTTTTCATCATAATTTCAATTTTTATGCACCATTATTCTAGAATACTATCACAGCACTAAAACTTCAGAAAATTTCAGTAAAATTCGTTTATATGATTGGAGTATAACAAGAGGGAGACACGTTCTATATTCTCACCCTAGTCTCACAATGTATATACTTTTAGCGACGTGTTGCCGTGATACAGCGCGTGGCCTCGTGTTATAGCCAGTGACAGGTATTGGAAATAATTTTACATAACGTGTGTAAACGGATATGGTAGCTGGTGTTAGGCATACAGTTTGCAGTGATAAGTTGGCTTTTCGAAATTGTTATTTTGAGTTGAGTTTCAGAAATAGCTAAATTAAAACTCAAGCACTTGTTTAAACATGATAAGATTTTGTTATTAAAATAAGCACGAAAGATCAACCTATCTGTAAATGTAACGAAATGGTTTCAACTGAGGTAAAGTAATATTGTATTCCTTTTCTAACGAACTCGGAATATTTTCAAAACTATTTCTTTCTTCATGTTTCTAATTTTTCTTAGTTCCACATGTAGTTTGTTTTATTTTTAACAGCAAACATCTGGGTTGACAAAACTAAAACGATAATTGTGATAAATATATTCTTGCCTTTTCAAAATCTGTGAAGTCATTCTCACGTTTCGACGATATAGGGAATGTTAATGCAAAATTATATTGTGCTGTCCCTAATGCTTCGAATATAAAAACTTGAACATTCACAATATTCAAGGAGGAAAAATATCGCGTGGAAATTGATAAAAACAGTTATCCTTTTCAAATAAATATATTCGTAAGAAAATATGCCCATTGAAACAAACTATTACGTGGAATATTTAGGTTATTCAACTGTACATAATTATTCGAAATGGTGTATTTAAATGTTTTACACTCACAAAAATAATCCTACCATTCTATAGGTATTTGAAGAACTTGTAGCATTCCGCCACAATTTAATTCTTCGTATTGTTAGCCGACACTGGGCAGCTGGTACATAATTAACAACTCTATTCAATTATATAATTATTAACGCTTTAAAATTCGTATGTATACTTTGAAATATAGGAAAGGAAAGATGGCATGCTAAGTTAGTGTTAAATCTTACCATGATGAACACAATGTTTATGAAACATTATAATTTTGAATGTAATTACTCATAAATTTTGTTATAATTTGAACTAACTTAGCATTATCCAAAGAAGAAAAATTCACCGGTTGCGTATTATTTTGTTATTGCTAAAATGTTTTGTAGATGAATCTTTTTTGCGCATTTGAAGTTGATATAGGGTAAAACGCTGGTTATTGAAACAAATAAACTTTTTTTAGTTCTAGTATTTGGTATTTTTATGTAGTATTACGTTGCATTTAACGCCGATTAGTAAGTTTTTTGTTTGATTTTTACTTTCAATATCACGTATTTTTTGTATTGTATAGTATATTACTTTTAGACAACAAGTAAATAACGAAAAATGTTGAAATATTAATTCATTTCTTCTTTACAATCAAAATGTATTTAAACGAGATCGAATTTATTCTGAGCGTTAGTTTATAAAAATAAAAAGTTATTAAAAGAACGGTATGGTATGCTTAAATGTTCTGCAGTATTAATACTTTGACATAACTGAGAACATTCTATTGATGTTGCTCTGATATATGTTTTGGAGATATTTTATAATTTGTCGAATTTAAAGTTTTGAATTTTACAGTTTAGTATTTACAAAACTTAAACACCCATGTTTGAATAACATAAGTTTGTGAAATAACGTATACTGTATGTAAAACTTTAGAGAATACTGCTAATGAAAATTCCCAAGAAAAAAGAAGTATGAATATAATTTATCATTTTTAATGTCAATAACATGAAAATTGGATGCTATAAATGCAGCTTATAAAATATATACACACATATATAAATAGCATTTACAATTTAATTTTTCAGATTAAACCTATTTGGCCTTGTCATGTGAGATTAAGTCAGTTAATGTAATATTATTACTTATTAAGAGAGTAAAATTTGAAAGTAAAAAACAAAGTAAATGTAAATTTTTATGAACCTTGCTCCACGACTGTATTTTGGCCTATCCGTCTATTGTCTTGTAGTAAATAAATCAGTGTTGATAAAAGTAAGGGCATGTTGATAGCTGAAAAACGACAAACATCCATTACGTGCTTAGTCTGCTAGAACTTGATACTGCTTTTCTTTACAATCTAATCACAGCTACATGGAATAACAATACTAGCTTGAGCTGAAGAGTCAATTGAAAAGCAATCGTTTACATATGTACCGGACTTGTATTGGGTAATAATTGGAAGAACTTGAAACGAACATGCCACTTCTCATTTCTTACGTTCGCTGGTTTATAAAATTCTGGGGAAGGTTTTGGTTTCGGTTCTACTTTTACGCTTCAGGTAAGTATTTATGCGTATACTGCCAATATTATTTATTGATAAAGTAAATTCGATAATTTAATAACGTCCAATATGTGAAGTGTAAGTCTTACAAATGATGAACGTAATGGAAACCTTCTCAAAGATTATCCATGTGTCTTCTTGTCTGTTTCTAGAAATGACCAATAGCTTATAGTAGGTTTTCTTGACTTGTCCAAGAAACCCTTTTTTGTATGACACAACAACAGACAATATACTACTAGTGACCTTTTTTTATGACACAACAACAGACAATATACTACTAGTGACATTTTTTATGACACAACAACAGACAATATACTACTAGTGACCTTTTTTTATTACACAACAACAGACAATATACTACTAGTGACCTTTTTGTATGACACAACAACAGACAATATATTACTAGTGACCTTTTTTATTACACAACAACAGACAATATACTACTAGTGACCTTTTTTTCATGACAAGTCCATGACACAACAACAACAGACAATATATTACTAGTTATTTATCGGTCATTATGGTGATAGTCTTTCCAGCACTGATTTATTCTAAGGAATAGTACCAAAATATTGTACATCATTGGTTATTTATTGGACAAGTCAAGCGCACTTGCTCTATGGTATTGGTTATTTTTGGACAATCCGAAAAAGCTTTTATTTTATGGTACTGGTTATCTCTGGAACAAATTACTACTTAGGAATGGTTTCACTAGTAGTATATTGTCTGTTGTTGTGTAATAAAAAAGGTCACTAGTAGTATATTATCTGTTGTTGTGTCATGGACTTGTCATAAGTAAAGTCAATAATGTATTGTAACTTGTTTTCGTTTGTCTCAGAAGTAACCAGTATTATATTTTAGAATTGTCTAGCTTATCATATAAATAACAAATGCAATACCACTTAATAATAATCTAATATGTATTTGGTTCACTTTTTGGTTATCCCAGAAACAAACAACATTACATGGTAGTTTGTCTTAAGTAAGTAACTCTGAACCTGATAAATTTAGTGTTTTTCAATATTACATATAGGTTCAAGTGAAAGAAAGTGTAAGTTACATATTTAAAGGTATGTTTTACATAAATTTGTACGACACTGTTTTGGACGTAGCTTTGCAGCCGCTAAGATCTAATTAACACTTGACATACTATCTTGTTTAGTACGTTCAGCGCAATCAAACTGGCATACGGGTGGGGCATTTTGATCAGACTTACTAATAAACACAGCCCCCCCCCCCCAGTGGCACAGCGGTATGTCTGCGGACTTACAACGCTTGAATCTGGGTTTCGATACCCGTGGTGGGCAGAGCACAGATAGCCCATTGTGTAGCTTTGTGCTTAATTACAAACAAACAAAGTAATAAGCCTGGAATTCTTTGCTGAATATTTTTAATCATAATAATATATGTTTATAATATTATAGACATTGTGGAGATAGGTAAGGTGACAGAGATGTAAACAAACCAGTAGTGAGTTGAATGTAACAAAGAAGTGATATCTACCTTGTTTATAAATTGATTATTAAGCTCGAGCAGATAGGTCAATGTTACCAAATACACCTAATAATATACAAATTACAATACCTATGCTTGCATACACGGATTATTTTTATGAACTACCGCTGATATAGTAGCAATTGATTGGTCCCAGTATTGCTAGTCATAAAAACATTATTACTGTACATTTATTAGCAATTGATTGGTCCCAGTATTGCTAGTCATAAAAACATTATTACTGTACATTTATTAGCAATTGATTGGTCCCAGTATTGCTAGTCATAAAAACATTATTACTGTACATTTGTTAGCAATTGATTGATCCCAGTATTGCTAGTCATAAAAACATTATTACTGTACATTTATTAGCAATTGATTGGTCCCAGTATTGCTAGTTATAAAAACATTATTACTGTACATTTATTAACAATTGATTGGTCCCAGTATTGCTAGTCATAAAAACATTATTACTGTACATTTATTAGCAATTGATTGGTCCCAGTATTGCTAGTATAAAACATTATTACTGTACATTTATTAACAATTGATTGGTCCCAGTATTGCTAGTCATAAAAACATTATTACTGTACATTTATTAACAATTGATTGGTCCAGTATTGCTAGTCATAAAAACATTATTACTGTACATTTATTAGCAATTGATTGGTTCCAGTATTGCTAGTCATAAAAACATTATTACTGTACATTTATTAGTCTGGCTATAACAAGTCTTGAATACAATTTTTGTCAATATTAATTTAATATAAAACTATTATTTTTGAAATCACATATGAAAAATGGGGTGGGGATGCAGAAATCTCAGCTCCACAGGCACCGCAGTGCCCGTATTATGTAATAGTTTATTCCAGAAATAACTAATATTATACAGGGTGTCCTAAAAGTCTGGGATCATTAGTGATTTGCAGCTTTTCTTAATTTCAGATACGTGACTGATTATGGTGCTGTCAAAGCATGAGAAGGTCCAGTTAATTCTGCTGTTAATACAAACTTGTTTCGAATTACATAGACAACATGTGGAACACATTCTGTAAAATTCCTTGAATTGCCTATGATGTCTTCGGACACCCTGTATTGTCTGTATTGTTTCCGCTACAACAGTAAGCAAAATGAGTCTTTTTGAGGTCGCAAGTAAATGTTCAGTCTGAAATATCGATTCATACAAAATTGCGTTTTTTACGTGATTGTCAATATAAGTAAATGTTCAGTCTGAAATATCGATTCATACAAAATTGCGTTTTTTACGTGATTGTCAATATAATACAGTTGTACATGAAATCGAGTTATCTTTTTTTTGTGTGTGATCAGTGCATTTTTTTTGTAAAGTCACCATTACGTTGTTATTAGTTGCATTTCGCGTAAAGTTACTCTAGGGCTACCTGTAGCCCCCCAGTGGCACAGCGGTATGTCTGCGGACTTACAACGCTAGAAACAGGGTTTCGATACCCGTGGTGGGCAGAGCACAGAAACTCATTGTGCTTTGTGCTTAACCACAAACAAACATTCAAATTTCATGAATGATATAAAGCAATTACTTCTCATTTTAGAACTTCCTCCACAAACTAAGTAACAAACTCTCTATACTTGTCCATCTTAGAACTTCCCCTACAAACTAAGTAACAAACTCTCTATACTTGTCCATCTTAGAACTTCCCCTACACACTAAGTAATAAACTCTCTATACTTGTCCATTTTAGAACTTCCCTTACAAACTAAGTAACAAACTCTCTATACTTGTCCATCTTAGAACTTCCCCTACACACTAAGTAATAAACTCTCTATACTTGTCCATTTTAGAACTTCCCTTACCAACTAAGTAACAAACTCTCTATACTTGTCCATTTTAGAACTTCCCTTACAAATTAAGTAACAAACTCTCTATACTTGTCCATTTTAGAACTTCACTTACAAACTAAGTAACAAACTCTCTATACTTGTCCATTTTAGAACTTCCCCTACCAACTAAGTAATAAACTCTCTATACTTGTCCATTTTAAAACTTCCTCCACAAACTAAGTAACAAACTCTCTATACTTGTCCATTTTAGAACTTCCCCTACAAACTAAGTAACAAACTCTCTATACTTGTCCATCTTAGAACTTCCCCTACAAACTAAGTAACAAACACTCTATACTTGTCCATCTTAGAACTTCCTGCACAAACTAAGTAACAAAACTATCTATACTTCTCCAGTTCTTACTGGGACGGAGAGAAGCTCTAAGAAAAGGCCCTTGAAACGTTATAAATTTATTGATAATTAAAAGGCATATTTGTCTTCAATATTTTACTGTAGTATTTTCTGTAATATTCATGATTCTAAGGGTTAGATGAGCTTGCAGAACGATGATATATATTATAAGCCTTTTTTCAGTTCACAATTTGCAGTATAATCCAATGTATCAGTTACTAGTATTGTACAAACAGATACGTTTATAGAGCAGTTGCATATACAGTAGCGATTACAAAGAGCAAAAACAATATGGTTTAAGTAATCGTTCTTGTATATATATCTGCTGTATTTACAATATAAATAAACAGTTGACATGTTTAATTCCAACATTAATAGCTCTTGATTCCATTAGAAAATAATAAAATGGGTTTTTGCGTATATAATGATCTTCATCACACCAAATACAGGAAATTCGCACTTTCATGTTTGTTTGTTTGCTTTTTGAATTTCGCGCAAAGCGACACGAGGTCCATCTGCGCTAGCCGTCTCTAATTTAGCAGTGTAAAACTAGAGGGAAGGCAGCTAGTCATCACCACCCACCGCCAACTCCTGGGCTACTCTTTTATCAACGAATA